ATTTCCAGCTGGTAAAAATTCTATGAGTGATTGACCCCCCAAAAGGTCCTGTCAGCAACAGCCCTGCTTAACACTTGCATCCTCAAGTCTGTGGCTTGTTTTATTCAGTCAATTCATCTCATATCCAATTTTCCCCTTCTCCTGCTGCCTTCAGCCTTTCCCGACATTATTTTATTTTCCAGTAATTATTCTCTTCTCATGATGACACAAAGTATAGTAGCTTTAGTTTGGTCATTTTTGCTTCTGGGGAGAATTCAGGCTTTGTTTAATCTAGCACCCACTTATTTGTCATTCTAGCACTGAATGTAAAGTTCTCCTCCAAAAGCACATCTCAAATAAAACAATTCCCCGTCCTCATCAACTTAGTTCATCATCCAGCTTTCACATGCGTACATAGCAATGAAAAATGCCATAGTATGGATGATCTTGACTTTGGTCTCTGGTGGCTGGTTAGGCATATATAAAGTCAGCAATAAGCCTAGGGTGAGAATTAGCTCACTGAAGTTGTGAGCCTTCTTTCGTAGGACTGGAGCCAGACAGTCACATTTACACAGTGCGTATTGTCTGGCAATTCAGTTAGAAAGCTATTTGCTTTCTCGATAAACCCAAATTATTGTGAGGGGGGGGAATGACAGAGTCTGGTTCTGGGGGTGGGAGAGTACGGCTCCTGGAAGCCCTCAACCAGCTTTGGAAGTTACAAAAAGGTAACATTTCCAAGCTCTTGTGGGGAAAAAAGGGGGAAGTCATTTTTTAATGGCCAATAAACCAACATTTATACAGATAATCATTTCGAGGGTTAGGAAAACCACCTGTCACAATGTGCCCACCGCACTGGCAAAATTAAAGGGGAAAAAGAAAAGGGAAAAGGGGGAAAAGAAAAAAAATTGTGGCACTTTAAAGACTGATTTATTTCAGTGCAAATTTTTGTGGATCAAAACCCGCTTCAGTGACAAGTGAACCATTGTAACTATCATCTGTATCCTCGCCTGGGCATGTCTTTCAGCACCATGGAAATATATATAAATACAGAGAACCTGTATTTGCAGCCTCTGTGTCTGAAGAAGTAGATCTTGATCCACAAAATCTCACACTGAAACAAATCTGTTAATCTTTAAAGTGCTACAATATTTTTGCCTTTCTATCTCTTTTTCCTCACTTTTCTTTTTGCCAGCATGCTGAGAAACAGCTACTTCTCTGGAAATTACCCATCACACTTCCTGACATCTTTTATTCTGGAGGTAGATATGTATGTTCCTAAACTTGTCTATATGTAGCCTAAAAAGGTGACTGAGACCAGATTCACGCAACAGAAAGATGTCACCTTGCTTTTGTTGGAATTGGAAGCAAGATGCTAAATTTTATGAACAAACCAACAAAATTTAGTTTCTGGTGCTGGGATTTAACATAGTTGTAATTAAGCCTATAAGCAGGACGCCAGCTTGGTAAGGAATGCTAGGTATAAAAGGAAGAAGGAAAAAATGTGCCGGTAAGCACGCCCTGTCATACTCATTGGGATCTTGCTTTTGTATTGCTGCCAAATAATAATTAAATCTGTGTCTCTGCGTGAAGACATATGTGAACACACACATATGCACACCTTGCCCAAAGTCAGAAGCATCCACAGATCTGATTGTGCAAAAGAGATCATACATACGTAGGGAATGGGTGCAATGCAACTGTTGTTGAATCCTTCAGCCTGCCATCCTATGTATCCTTCCATGGAAATATGCTCTACTGAAAGCAGCGGGGATGTTGTCTGATAAAACATCAATAGGCTTTATACAAAGGGGAGGACAACAAATCTTCAGTATTGCTAGCCTGGCCAGCATGACAAGAGATACTTTATGACATAAACGTGTACCAACCTCCCCCTAGCTATCTTGAAGAGAAGCTGATAAAATGAACCATTGGAGCTATTTTTACCAGTAGTGGGTTTTGTGAGCAAATTGTATTTATGAAAACAATACTATAGTAGCACTGTCTCTTTATGATTGCCAAGGACATTTTAAAAACTTCTTCATTATAAAAATTTACCTCCACAATGTTCAAAAGTGTCTGTTACTTAGAAACCTAGAAAACTAGGGTTCGTGTAGGGCTGCCATAAAAAGACTAAAAGAGAAGATTTGTGAACATAGATTCACCATTTTAATGCTCTAAATGTATGGTTATTATTAAAAATTGACCAATACGGTGAATTTTGTGCCTTAATTAAAAAAAAACATTCATGGAATCCATAGCCTGGCCAGGTGGAATAAAAAAATGAAGCTAGTTGCTTAACATGTTTATTAAAGATCGTTCCTCCTTTTTCCAGTCACTGATATCTGTTGTGAACAAAATCCTAAGATGTTTTAATTCAACCAAACAATCCTACTCTGCTCATCAGACTGAAATTCAGACTGGATTTTTGACCAGGGTACAGAGCGTGGAAAAGCTAATTTGTTCCTTTTTAAGATGATATGTTCCAGAATCCCTCAGCCAACCTGGATCATTTGAGGAGGTGTTATAAAAATAAGTTAAAACCCCCCAAAACTCAACACCCTGACTTTCCCTGTCTTGCCAGGATATAATTGCTGCCATCAAACCTTCTTTTCATCTATCTGTTGTAGGAAGCTAGGCTTCAAACAGTGATTTATTATCTTTCCCAGGGGCTAAAGTCTTGGGAGGCAGGCAGAGAGTTCATGCTAGGAATCGTTCAACATGGATGTCAGATGGATATAAGAATTCAGCAGTGATCCTACTGCATAAGTCACATGCAGCTTCCTGTTGTCTTTTTACATGTATACCTACAAATATTAATGATGAATACAATGAGCACAGATTTGCCAATATGTATAAGGATATAGTGGTGGGAGAGCTTTGATTCCTTGCGGACTATGCACTTGGTGACAAATATGCAAACTGGCACTCTGATTTTAGCATTCAGCTACTCAAATATATATATATATGGAAATATATATGGAACACTGGATTCCATGTGTCTCCCCCTCCCCAGTCTTTCTGACATAAAATAATTTCAAGCAGATCATTGACCACAGTAGCCTCTCACTGTGTGAGATATGCTCACATCCATTCATAATCAGACAAGAGGAAGAAATCTAGAACAAGGATTCTAAGATTTGTGACAAGAGGAAAAAATACTGAAAAGAAAAAAAAGAGCAAATGGCCTGAGGCCATATCCATGAATGTGTGGGCATTTGAAAATATCCTACTTCACCAAGCAACTTCCTGTATATTGTGTGTGTGTGTTTTTCTTTATAAAAAAAATACAGATTATACAAAGCCAGATTCTTCTAGCTTTTTGTCACTGGCCTACTGGTAATACTATACAATGGAGGACAGTCATATCATTGACTTCAAAGGAACGAGTTTACTATGTGTGGGGGAGGGGTGGAATGACTGCATCTGACTCCAATAACTTATTTTGTTTTCTTTATTACTCTTGAGCGACTGATGAGATTATTAATGTAATGCTGAAAATACGAAAACAAATGTTTCTAAGCAATTAATAACCCAGAGAAAAGACTAGCTATGTTGGTGTTGAAACAATAATTAGTTGAAAGCAAAATTAAGGCTTGTATCACTACATATCACTGCATACAGAATCAATTTTCATAAAATACTTCTGCTATCAGAGGCTCCGATGTGTAAAATACCTCCTAGGTCTTTCCATAAGACACAGCATTCTAATAGAAGTATATGCTGTCTCTTGAGAATTAATTAAAATTCGGCTGGAAATAAAGTGTTCTCTAAGGATTTTATATTGCCTAGGGACAACATAGCTGTAAGGAAGATAGTAAAGTAAGCCATATTTCAAGCACATGTCTATTTGTGTGGTTTTTGCAAAGATCTCCACCTCCCTATCTGTTCATCCATACATATACCCATTTTTATGTACTATATAGTATAGTCAATTTCTATGGGAAGTGCTCTTTGTACTCCATTACAAAGAGATGGTTTACAGTGCATACAAGGCATACAAGGCAATTGACACAAATACGAGCATTTTAGCCAAAAAGCTCGCCCTTTTCTGTCTTTCTATACATACGATTATGCTTCATTGCAAAGTCCCAGAACTGTACAGTCACATCCTACCCATTTAATTGCTAGTGATTTGCAGAATGATGTATCACAATCCTGATGAAATTACATTTAATTACATTAAATATTAAAATTTCATTACAACTCCTTCCTTTTTCCTCCCAAAGCTCTATGACCAGAAGAGTGGAATGAGTGTTTGCAAACTAATACCATATCCTTAGTGGGAAGGGGTATTTAAAAATATTTTCCAACTTATGATATGGTGCTTTTTACACCTATGATTTGTGATTGCCCGGTAAGATACAGAGGGAGCTACGAACCAAGAGATGTTGTGTGTTAAGGGAGGAAAACCAGCCTGGGCAACTGAGGCAGTGTGTGCCATCATGTTCTCTGCAGCATTTACTCTGAAGTCAATTTATTTTTGCAGGATGAAATTGCCATCTGTCCCTTTACCTCCTACTAGACTTTGGCTTCACTGCAGTGAATCTCTCATAGTACGCTGCTTAAATGTTAACTTATGGATACCAAACAACGTAGTAAAAGGAACCTCTGACTACTACAGCAAAGTCAGTAAAGGTAAAGTATGGATAAGTCTTGCAAAAGACACAGGGGAGTGGGAGGTTTGTAGCAGTTGTAACGACAGCCAATGTAGTGAAGTGACTGGAGTGTTAGATTATGATTCAGAAGACCTGGGTTCAAAACCTTGTTGGGCCACGGAAACTCACTGGGGTGGCAGCAGTGGCAACCCACTGGTTGAACATCTCACATACTTTGAAAACTCTGTAAGTCAGAACAACCAGACATCACATAGCCACTCGTTGAACATCAAGCATTCTTTGAAAACTCTGCCAGGATTACTGTAAGTCAGAACAACCAGACATCACATAAACAACAAGAGACACTATCATGTTTTGATTTGCAAGATGCCAAAGTGAATGGGGGAGGGGGTGTCATTTTGTTACCTCCATCTTGTCGATCCTGTCTTTCAGCATCCTGACTGCTTCTTCAAGCTCTTGGATCATGGTTGGCGAGTCCCAGGGCAGATCGCCCATGGTGTCCTGCCTGGGGACACCCCAGACAGAAGGACTGTCTTGGAAGCTCAGTTCCAGCCCATTCTCACACTGGCTGAGCTTGGTGGTCAGCTCCCGGATGGTCTCTTGGTCGGTGCGGATCTGCTCTTTCTGCTGCTGTGCCGTCTGCCTCAGCTGCTCCGCCGTGCTCTGGAGGAAGAAGAGCTCCTCGCTGGCTGCCGCAGCTGCTCCCCCGGGGCTGTCTCCCTGGGGGCTCCCTTCCGACGGGCACTCGACGGTCAGCGGGGTGCAGAGGAAGCGGCTGAAGAGCTGCTGGTGCTGCTGAGGCCGAGCGCTAGCCAGCAGGTCTAGCAAAGAGTCCTGTGTGCCGGCCGAGAAGCCCCCGCCGTAGGCGCTCTCTCCAGCACCATGGAGAGTTCCCAGGGTTTTGTCCGAGGCGGGGGCGGCGGGGAGCAAAGCCGCGGCGGCGGCGTTGGAGCCATTGTCAGCACCGTGGAGAGCTCCGCTTTTGCCGGCCGCAGGGTAGACGCTCGCAATGATGCAAATAATTGCACCAAGGAACGCTAGCATCCCTGCGGCCAGCAGCACCACCAGAAACTTCAGGGTGGCAGCTTCTCCGGGGGCAGAAGCCAAGAGAAATGGACACCCCTCAGGGGTGGGAGCGAACGGTGGGGTGGGGAGAAAGGGGAGGTGCAGGGGAGCAGCACCAGATGGGGAAGAAAGTGCCCCCGGAGCAAGGGAGGCCACAGAGAGAGGGAGAGAGGAAGCGCTGCTGGAGGAGTCTTCACTTCCTTCTGCCACTTGAACCAGAGCTGTTGGTTATATCTTGATTGGAGAGGGAGAGCAGGAACGTCACTGGCTCTTCCCCTCTGCCCCCCCCTCCAACGCCTTCCCCTTAACTCTTCCAACACCGAGAAGGCAAGGAAAACCATTGGTGCCACCTTGGAAAAGCAGTTCGTTTCCTCCTTCCCTCCTCCCTCCCTCCCTCTCCCTTCCTATGTTTATCCAGACACAGCTCCTTTTCAAAAGGAAGAGCGGAAGGCGAGGTGTGGGAGAAAGAGAAGGCCAAGATTATTCAGGCACCATCGACCACCTTGGGGAATATGTCTACGTCTGTGAAAGAGATTGAAACTTTTCACAGTAGTCTGTGTGGAATTATCTTCAGTCAAGTTCAGGCTGATGGAGGGAGGAGATGTAAAGATGGCCAAGGAAGTGGCTGTATACACCTAATGAGAAAACACTGAGGGGCAATTTTAAAAGGCAAATCATGATCTAAGTGGGCAAGACTGATTCTGTCTTTAAGCACAGAGGGAATCAGAGGAAATATCCTCAGTGACCTAATCAATCGATATTAACAAAAAGAAAATAGGCAACCCACAGCTGACAATGGACATTAATAATTCAAACCAAATTACAGAACCATGGCAGAATTAATACATATACTGTACAATATATGATAAATACCAGATAATAAAATGCTGTCAGGTATGAGTCATAACTAAGCCTCCTTATGTCCTTAGTAATCTTCTGAAAAATGGTAAGGATGGGTCCTTCAATAAATCTTCAACATGTGGTACCAGAAGGAGAATTTAGAACGCGGGGTCTTCCCCATCTTCTGCAAGAAATACAGAGTGATTCAAATTCAGTGAGGGCATGTCCTTTTTATGTGTGCATTATGTACTGTCAAGTTGGAAGTGACCCTAACAGCGATTTCAAAGTAAGTGAGATAATTTAAGGAGTGGTAGTATCAGTGCCAGACATCCTTCAGTGAGTTTCCATGACTGAGTGGGGATTCAAATCCAGGTTTTCTAAGTCCTAGTCCATCATTCAACCCATCTTTTTTTCTTTTACAGTGGTTCTTTTACACTTTTGCTACCTAATTACCTAATGACTGAATAACCGACTATAGCTGGTATTTCCCTTTCTGACAATGTCTAAACAAACGTTAATTATTCATTTTAATACAGAATTTGCTCTTCATAGTCTAGCTTTTTTAATCTTATCATTTACATTTTAATGCATTTGACTTGCAGGTCTTTATAGCACAGATCTATGCATATCAGCTCATTGAATTCTATTGAATGATCTGATATGCTCATTCTGAGATACACTTCCCTTACTCCTACGGAAGTGCACACGGAATTGCAACTTTTTCATGCTTTTAAACACTCGTTACATCTGAAAAATCTGCTTGCCTTTGAAAGGTTTGATACTGCTGTTTAGCTACACTGTTGACATCCTCCAGCCCTGTCGTGCCTATTTTTCTAAAATGTGGTCAACATGTTACTAAACCCTTGGAGCATTTTCTTTCCTGAACACATCATATCTTCCTCACTGTCTTTCAGTACACTTCCAAGCAGCTGGCTTGTTTTCTATATATATGTCCCCCCCTTGAAAGCTGTACACAGTCTACATGATTTTTGAAGAATTCTGAATCACTATTTATGGAAGTAGAAAGGGTTACATAAGAACATTTTTTATCTGCAAGATGCAGCCATTGTGCACATGAAAATCAGATACAAATTGAGATGGGAAAGAAGGCCATTAACACCGTTAATTTTACAATGCAATATATCCATTGTAACACTGATAAAATAGCACCAGACCCATCTACTACATGGACACCAAACCCAACCCCCCAGACAACAGCTAAAATGGAGGAAAATGAGGAGAGGTTCACTGCACACATCTCAAGCTCTAAAAATTAAACCAGAAGAGGACAGGTTAAATCTGTGGAGAGAAAAACAAGAAATCTTTCCAAATGAATGAATGTTGAAGAGTATCTCCCACCAGTGCTAGACTCTAGCTGGACCATCTGTTCAGTTAGTCAGCTAATAGACTTCACAATGAAGTAGGAAGATCAAGTAAAATGGGGCTGCCTAAAAAAGGACAAATTTTCTGTGACTGTGGAGAAATTCAATAAATGCAGCACTTATGCCCTTGCATTTTACGCCCCACCATGTATACAAAAGGAGATCTAACAAATGACCAAGATAATGCAGTTGAAGTAACCTGCTTCTGGTAAAAAATGGTCTAATCATATTAAATTTTAATTTGTTTTGAATTTTACCTATATTTCATATGAATCTATAATTTTAAATTGTGTATTTCTCCATTTTGAAGATAGAAAGAAAGAAAAAGAAAAAAGAAAGAAAAAGAACAAATGAACGAACGAATGATTGGTGGGATTTTAAACTATATCTGGCTCAGAAATGTTGACTGTTGCAGTCCAGAAAGTAATTTATTAAGCACTATAACATTCTCTTTTTCTTCCGCACCCCCCCCCAATTTTTGCAAATTTGAAACTCAAGATTACAACCTCTATTTTCATCTTTCATTTTCACTGGTGAGAGACTCTGGAATTTCTTTATGTAAGACGAAGGTCCAGTGAAATCTGCTACAATCTGTGGTCATGAAAAGAGCTTTGGATTTCTGTTTCTCCAACTGCCATTCCCAATATGATATAGCAAACCACTTTTAAGACTAAAGAGAGCTACAGAAGTGAACATATAATATAGCAAAAGGCTCTGCTGTTCAGCAGGGGCTGCAGAGGAGAGAAGGTAAAAACTGCAGTGATCATAAACAAATCCTTTATCTCTCCTAATATAGCTTTTTGAATCCCAGCCAATTTTTCTGTGGACAAACTTTTAACAAACTTAATTAGACCGATGACTTCTTCAGATTATAGCAGAATATGATTTTTAGCATGAAGTAATCTTCCTATTCTACAGATTTCACATCAGAATCACACTAGTTTTCATTTTTGCATCTGGTTTCCACTATGCTTGGAGAATGGATTTTCCAGCATATGTTACATTTCTTTAAAATTTCTTTGGCTGTTCCTGTTTTCTTGGTTATCTGGATGTTTGTGTTTTGTTTATTCATAGTTTCTCGTTTATTTTATTGTATTTTAATTGATAAGGGTATAAGCAGACCCAAACCACCATATAGTTGGGCATACCTGACATATTGATTCTAATAGGATTTTTAAAGTGTACCTGTGTACATGTGGTGTTGAACTGAAAGCTCAACACCCATGAATTTCTCTCAGGGAATGAAGTTTGCTGTCAGGACCCCTTCTCAAACAATATTTTTACTTCAGAGAAACAGGGACTTGTCTCTTTGGTTATTTGACTGTATAGCAGACAGCCAATTTTCAGTATACATTGATCAGGATCTTCTTTAATAAGATTAATTCAAGGATTGGGAATTATAGGATTCCTTCTGGTTAGTAACATTAACATCTAATGATATGTTATGATTACTCGGTCATCATACTTCCCAGACATTCTACTCCTGCTTATTTTTTGTTGCTGCTCATAAAGCATTTCCTCCAAAGTTTGATAAACAAACCTCTCTCTATTCATTCAGTGGAGTTTTCCCTCCCTATTCTCTTCTTTGCAACCTCCAAACTTTTGTTCATTGGGTTCTCCAACCCTGTGGAACAGATTTCAGGCTACAGAGTAGGAGGGGTTATTGCCCTTTCCCATGCTACTCATGGGGAAACTTTTGCTGGTGAAACACTTTCTTGATTTTATCCTAATTTGATTTCATAATCAGAATTCCATGTCAGCCTGTTTATATGCACCATTTCAAATACAGTTTTACTTAATTCTTTATTTTTTAAAAATAATTTTATTGATTGGTTGAATTTATTTTTATGCTGCCAAATTTAGTGAGAACTCACTACTCTGTGTGGTGAACAAGAGATTTAACCCATAACACTTGTCATCCCCAACCACACTATGTTGTTGTTGTTTAGTCGTGTCCGACGCTTCGTTAAGTCTTTCTTTTACGGGATATACAGTATATAGCCCATAAAAGAATGACAACTTACAACAAAACAAAGTCAACAAAGCCAAATTCTCTGCAATAACACATGGTCTTGTGAATCAAAGAGAAAGAGAGTATGGCTTAATAAGAAGCTGATAGCATATACCAAGATCCAGGTCTATAGAGCCTGTGTCGCGAACACACTCCTGTACTGCAATGAGTCCTGGATCCTTTGTGCATGGCAGGAGAGGAAGCTGAACACGTTCCATATGTGTTGTTTCTGGCGCATTTTTTATATCACCTGGCACGACAAAGTTTCAAATAGAGTAGTCCTAGAACGAGCTAGAAATTTTAGCATATACACATTACTGAAACAGCGATGTCTACGTTGACTCAGGCATGTCGTGAGAATGGCTGATGGTCGGATTCCAAAATATCTCCTGTATGCAGAATTAGTACAGGGAAATCACCCCAGAGGGGAGACCAGATCTGTGATAAAAGGATATCTACAAGCGGGATCTGAAGGCCTTAGGAATGGACCTCAACAAATGGGAAACTTTGACATCTGAGCATTCAGCCTGGAGGCAGGCAGTGCATCATAGCCTCTCACATTTTAAAGATACACTTGTCCAGCAGGCCGAGGCAAAGAGGCAGTACCGAAACCAGCAAAATCAGGGAGCTGGACAGGGGACACATTGTGTTTGTCTTCAGTGTGGAAGGGATTGTCACTCTCAAATTGGCCTTCTCAGCCACACTAGATGCTGTTCCAAGTCCTCTATTCAGAGCATGTTATCATAGTCTCTCGAGACTGAAGAATGCCTCATCCAATAAATCAGCTACACCCATAAAACTGGGATGCATGAATTGTAGTCCATCATATGTTATTGGAATTGCCAGTGTGGCCCACAATTCCCCTACTTCTGAAAGAAAGATTATTTGCACTTATCATTGCAGATGGTTATTGTTTGAATTGTTTTTAGTTGTCTGTTTGCCTGCCTGCCTGCCTGCCTGCCTGCCTGCCTGCCTGCCTG